TGAATCATTTTCCATAGAGGGTGACACGGTGAATGAGCTGATGATTGGAGTCGAGGGAACCAGTCAGAACACCAGAACACCAGAAATACAATATCCGGAGTTTCAAATTTGATGAATATATATTTGACACAACACAGGATGTTTTACATAAAATTTCGGTTTCTATCTAAGACTGTTCATGACGAAGGTAAAAACGCAATTAAATTCAAAATTTGAAACTCGCAAAGCTTTAACAACGTTTTTCAGTGAGAACTCAGTCAAAGCAGCCGTTTATATCGTAATTGGTATTGTTTCAGTCTTCTAATGAATACCCTCCTCTTTCTTTACTTCGCCCTCAAAGCCATCATTAATAGTCACACACACTACTAAAGGTAATTGTGGAGAAGCTCTTAAAGTGAAAGTATCATCAATTTGAAACAAAGCTTTTACAGTCTTATCTGGTGTAGCAATTCTCTCTGAAAAGCGACTTCGTTTGTTTCAAATGAGCCCCTCTCGCGCAAAAAAAATGTGCTTTGGAAGACTTATACACCAAATCCTTTTCTTTCATCTTCTCAGAAGAATAATGGGTATATCTTCTATTCTATGAAGGATACGGGGGGATGGAAAGACTCCCGGAGTTGGACAGGATGGTGAAACATTTGAGCAATTGTCTTGCTGTTCAATCTTATGCATGCCTTTCAATGAGTGTACCAAAGGCTGCCCGATAACTGTGGATGACGAACACTTCATAAAATAAATATTCTTTCCTCAGGTGACTACGGCAATTTACTAAGATATTTATCTCCCTATTGGCTACTTAACGGGTCAAGATATCTCTCGAAAAAACCGTCACTAATTTCATTGGCACCGAAAGGGAGTCAATGCATCTCTCTCCTTTGGATATGGAATTTGTGACACCGTATTGTCTACCATCACTATGCTAATCTAGTAATGGATAAAAAACAGGGGTTTTGAATTTCCTTTTTATTTTAAAATGTTTTAGTAGCACAGGATGTGTTAGCAAAGGGAGAGCCACATATGTTTCTACATAAAACTTTCCGTTTCTGTCTGGGGCGGTTCATGACAGGGGGTAAAATACGATTAAAATTTGAAAGATGAAACTCACAATCAAGTTTCCAAAGTGTTTCAGTGATCACTTGATCGAAGCAGCCGTTAAATCGAAATTTTTTCAGCTCTCTTACTACCACTTTCCTCTTCTTTTCTTCGCTTAAGTTCTTAGAGACAGTATCATTAATTTCTAACAAGGCTTTTGTAGTCTTTACTCGTGTAGCCAGTCCCTCTGATGAGGGTACCTTTTGCTTCATATTCGTCATTCTCGTGCAAACGTGTGCTTTGCACGACTAAGGCGTGTAACATTTCCTTTTCATTTTTCTTACAATTAACAAACAAAAGTTTTATATCTGACTCTGGGAAGGTTGTTGTGCATGGTGAGATTCCCCGAATTGAAAAGCCAGTTTACAACTAAACATAAACTGAACAATTGAGGAATTGTTTTCCTGTTTAATATTGTACGTGTTATCATCGATAGTTGACATGAGACTGAAACGCACCCAGTTGTTTCATTTTCCTCTCCTTTATCGACCTTGAAATCTCACATGCCCGAAGCTGTTGTTTAAAATCCAGTAAGGCGAAGGATTGAAAAAAAAAGGTACCGAAAAGCTTACAATGCTGATCTATTGCTTCTAAAAGTCACAATTTGGAATAATAGCGTTTTTCTGCAATCCCAAACCTTAGTAACGTGTCTAAAATATGTCTCTAACGCATAAACAAGTTGAAGATTCTCCCTGCTAAATCTTAACACACCCTGGGAAAATATCCGTCTGCAGATATTATGCACTCAGTCTTAGTTACAGACCCAGCCCGTGCTCCTATCAACGAATTTATAAGCGGCTGCCTTCTCCATTTTGGATGTTGTTCACTTCATTTCTTTTTCAGTTGCTAAATATCTTCACGGACAAAATTTCGGCCTTATTTTCACCACATCTCTTAGAGTAAGCTGAGATGTTGTTACTACGTAACTGAGCCTTTGGTCCAAATAACAACTCAATGTAACTGTCCTCATCTAAAGAACAATGTTTTGTACTCACCACGTTTTGCTATGTTTACCAGCTTCACCACGTACAGCGATGATCTGATTGAGAGCGATGACCATAAAATCAGGTTCGCTCAGGTCACGAGACCTTATGGAAAGCCGCGCCTTGGAAAAGAGAAGATTGGGGTCGAACAATGAGGCATGCGTACCTTCTCTAGAAATCGAATATCCTTTCGTATTATCAGATATCACTTTGAAATTTTCCACTTTGGCCAGTGGAAAATATTCTGTTAATTCTCTCTGCATGTGGTTGAAAATAATTTCACATCTAAGTTCGAAACAAAAACGTCACTCGAAGGTATGCTGTCCTTTATAATAAGGTTCCTTTGTCTATT